ACCGTTTTCTTAAATGAAGAACTAAGATCGTTTTCAATTCCTCTCTTGCGGTAGCATGGATCGAGATTCCTCGAATGGTAGCGATCTGGTAGTCGCATTTTGAGGCGAATAAGACTGTAAATTGCTATTAAGCGTCGAATGCGATTCTCTTAGTGAAATACTTCTTTCCGTTTTAATTATGGTTTTCCGAGTTTTGAAAAACGAGACATTGTCTAAGGTAGTACTGATATTTTGTTTATGTGGCTGAGCTGGCGAACCGTCTCGAACGGTCTACATAATCAATAAGCAGTGTATAAATAGTAGTAAATAGTAGTAACAAATTAGATATTTTGTTTACCAATTAACAAAAATGAAATTATATACCTTTGATGAACGTGTTACGACGTTCTTTGAATCTTTATCATTGTTTGATGGTTCAATTTGCAGTTTAGCTTTACGTATTTGCGCTATTAGTCGTCTTCTGTTATCGTAACCCACTGCCTTTTCAAGCTAAACAAATACATTCTAAAATATAATAAGTATAAAAAAAACTATATCGAATGAGAAATNATTATATACCTTTGATGAACGTGTTACGGCGTTCTTTGAATCTTTATCATTGTTTGATGGTTCAATTTGCAGTTTAGCTTTACGTATTTGCGCTATTAGCCGTCTTCTGTTATCGTAACCCACTGCCTTTTCAAGCTAAACAAATAAATACTAAAATATAATAAATATAAAAAAACCTAGATCGAATGAGAAACTGTTTTATTTGTTCAACACATTAATATTTGATTGATACATTTTAAAAATAAATAAATACATAGAAGCGTTTAGATACTTAGAAAAACTAGAAATAGAAAAACGACAAGAAATCGTATGTTGAATTTTTAATTTAGTTGATAACATAGAATAATTGTTAAATAATTTGATTCATTTTTAAGTTATTTATAGACATTTTTATTTTAGTAGTCTTTTACATAAAATTTATTTGGTAGATACTCTATGGATAAAATGTTTGGACTTAACAGAAACGCTTGAAAATTTGTTTTATAAGTTTAACAAAATAATAAAAAAAAGAGAAGAGTGTAATGTAATTTTTTTTTTATTTTTTTTTATAAGTTTTAAAATCAAATTGTAACGATAAAAGTAAATATTAAGTCCTTTCAAAAAATGTGTAACTAAGCTTCGCACCGAAACGTTTTTCATTAACAATTATCGTTAGTTACAGGTATAAATTAAATAACTTTAGGCATCCCACCTTCCCAACTACCCATCTACAATAGCGGCCGCAACTGTCCTCAGNCAAATACATACTAAAATATAATAAATATAAAAAAAACTATATCGAATGAGAAATTGTTCTATTTGTTCAACACATTAATATTTGATTGATACATTTTAAAAATAAATAAATACATAGAAGTGTTTAGATACTTATTTATTATACTTAATATTACTATTATTATACTTATTTATTATCGTTAGTTACAGGTATGAATTAAATAACTTTAGGCATCCCACCTTCCCAACTACCCATCTACAATAGCGGCCGCAACTGTCCTCAGTATCCGATATTTTTTTTACATATTATTGTTTTTTAAAACACGTATTGAAAAACAAAAAGGACTTTAATGCAGTTTAGCAAATTTGACTTAAACTTAAACATTATTTTATTATTTATTTTTGTTTTTATGTTACTCAAATGTATATTTTAT